TCCTCAATTTTGTCTAGGTATTCCAATGTGTCTTTGTTGGCTGACAGGAGGGTTGGAATGCTGCGCTTATTTCTGTTCCAGGCTTTCGTGCTGGCTCGAAGCCGTCTGAGTTTGTGGTTGAGCTTGGAGATTGCTGTCAGGGGTCTGGTTCCTCTGCTCCAGTTTGTTTCTGTCATCGCGATGAAATCAGGCATCTGCAACCAGTAATTTTCTAAACGAAAAATGTCTGATTTTGAACAGTTGTCCGAGAACTCAGCGAGGATGGGGATGTGGTCTGAAGTTGTTGCTATTAGTGCTTTGGCGGAGGCGTTGGCGAAAGTTTGGTTCCAGGCGGTGTCGATCAGAACTCTGTCAAGTTTTACCGAAGTCGGGCATCTTCTCTTGTTTGACCAAGTGAACTTTCTACTAGGGATGTCTATGTCAAACAACCCCTCACCATTAATCCAACTGTTGAACTCTTCCATTCCTCTTGTATTTATGCTGTCATTGTTCTTCTCATGTGGGAATCTGTATATGTTGAAATCGCCGATGCGCATCCAGGGCTCAAGGCGTGTGGTCCTCAAGGCAGTGAGCAGATCAAACACTTCTTGTCTCTCGGAGTTGGCATGGGGAGCATAGATGTTTGTGATTAGGAAGGATGTTTGATCGATGGTGGAATGGAAGGAGCAGGTGAGGGCAGCTTTGAACTTTGCATTTCTCCAGGCTGTGATCAGTCCTCCTGAAGAACCGGTGGAAGACTGGTAGTGGAAGTTTCTTAAGAAGCTGGGGCTGTGAAGCTGTCTATATTGCTTAACTTAGATTCTTGGATGCAAACAATATCCGGCTTGTGCTCAAACAGGGTTGACTGAACTAAATCCCTCTTTTCTTTGTCTCCGAGACCTCTTACGTTCCATGACAGTATTTTCATTGTAAAAACAAAAGAGCTCTGGGGACGGTAAGCTGGCGCAGCAGTTGAGACGCTCTCGGAATCTCGAGTAAAATGTGATGCTTAAGTGACTCTTCCAGTTCCGAAAAGAAAAACAAGTTGTCGCCGGCGGAAAGAGGAAATGGAAAACATAGAGGGAAGAAAAAAAGTGCTGAAAAGCTTATCTATCTATCTATCTATTATCTTCTATTATCTATTATATACTAAAAGTCCATTAAACTTCCTATAAACGCTCCCAAGCCGTCACGTGGTGCTCCTACAAGCGTTCCTAGGCCGCCACATGGCAGAGTCTAATCTTACCATCGATTTTCATTTAAATTGGTGGACCCATTATTCTGTATCGTTAGATTAGATCTATACCTGCCATCAGCGGTGGAGCCAACCAAAAAAGGACGTGGGGTCATCACTGTGAACCAATATTACCGATAAATAAAACCATGAAAACTGCATGGTTTTCGTACGTCAATCCAGTAGTTTGAGAACTCTCTTTTTTATTACGGAGTTTTGAAAAAAAAACAACACCGATATTTTTTTTTTCTTCTACACTGTTGCTAGAAAATCATCCAATGAGCTTGCAAACCAGCCAGCTAATCACAAAAATTTTAATTAGTAGCTGTGCTCATACAAGATGGACCAGGTGGACTGGGGTTAAATCAATAATTTTACTGGGAGCACATTCAACTACACCATAGGTAACAAGAAACCCTTTTACATGCCGGTTTTTCTAACCGATACCCAGATAATAGCACGGATGACTTTAGTCATCGGTGTTGGTGGTAGAATCGGCACCTATAATGTGTGTAGGTGCCTGTTTTGTACCAATAATCGACACCTATACCGACTTATAGGTGCCAATTATGGACCATCAATATGCCACGTGGCTGGCCTTGTATGTGTCCATTATTTACAACAACCAGCACTCAATAAATCAGAGAAATCGAAGAAATTATAAGAAAAAAGAAATACATATAGCCATCAATTTTAAGTTAATACGGTGGACCCAATATTTTACACCGTCAGATCTATCTTTTAAAAAAATCCCAAAACCCATCAAAAATCATCTCCACCGCCCTTTTCTCCTGGACCTCCTCCCCTCACGGTGACTACGTACATTCATCCCTCCCACTTTCCTTCATTTCTTTCTCTAACTTAACTATTCAACTTTAATTGATGAATCCATATACATATAAATAGCTTAGATTTCTAATATAAATGTTTTAAGAGCAAATTTTTAAGCACCATATTACACAAATATTAAATTTAGATTCGATAAACGCTCCTAAGTCACCACGTGGCAATCCTACAAATGCTCCTAAACCACCATATGATACTCTAATAAATTATGAAAAAAACACAGAAATTATAAGAAAAAAAAGAAAAACATCTCACCATTGATTTTTTTCTTTAAATTGGTAGGGCAAATATTTTCAATCACTAGATCTAATCTTAATCTTAACCTACTTAAAAAATTCAAGATGGCACGCGTGTTCTGTCGCTTGATGACGCTATCCATGAGTCAACCACACATACTCCGCGCATATGTTCCGTTAACGAGAGAGAGAGAGAGGCATCATTCATATGATAAAATCTTCCAGCCTAATCGTAATGCAGTGTTGCAGTCCATCAAAATTAATTTTTGTATATGTTCACTGCATATAAATTAAGATACGAAACATCAAAGAATAAGCACAAACAAAGTTTGACGTGACCTAAATGAACAGAACAAGGAAATTTGATCGTATCATGCATGGAGGAAGTATGGCTTAACATAGCATGAGATGACAATCAAGAAAAATAAGTCACAACTAACCTAATTAGATAAAACCCTGTATAAGGAAACGTTGCTGCAGAAATGATGAATGATAATGACAGAAACATAGTACAAAATAAATTTATTTCGTAGCTAAACAACGTAATCTTATATGTTACTTTGTACAGTTTGCATCTTTAGTTAATCATCCAAAAAAGCTATAAACACAGTTAAGATTATGTGCTTTGAAAATTTAGATCAAATATAGATTCAACATCATAAGACAAAACTAAGGTGGTATGGCTTTATGAAAGAAGAAACAAAAGAGAGAGTTTTCGACCAGACAAATCATCGAGGTGCTAGAAATATAGAGATTAGAAAAATAACATTAACTATACTTAGTGAGAGTTAAATGTATAATTATATATATGATTGTAGCAGATATAATAAATTGGCACGAACATAAAAAAAAAGCCTAACTATGTAACAAAAATTTAGAAGTGGAAAGATGATAGGCACTAATTTATGCCCACTACAAGCTAGCTAAAAAATTAAAAAAAATGTCAATTTGTAGTAAATAAATTATAACTCTAATATAATTTTACAGAAAAATATTCAATCTATGATATCAACAAAAATTTCACATTGTAAAAGCAATGACACGTGAGCGGTTATGTTTAGACATCAAATCATATTTCCATCGAACTACGTGGAGCCTCGCACAATCTTTATGAAATGGCATATGGGTTGTATTCCACATCGCACAATTAAATTGGACCTCACGAAACTTTTTATTTTAGCAATGGAAAAAATCCAATACTTTGAGAAAAGAAATAGAAAATTAACAGTATCAGAGCAGGACACAATGAATGAGTTATAATATCTAGCATGCATTGCTAATGTTATTTCACATACGAACTATCGAATATTGGCACAAATAATTTTAAGTCTCTTATCCAACTTTTTTAATCGTTTAAACAATTATATTCATCGCAGTGCTTTTACTCATACAATTATATAGATCACTTACACCGAGTTTGAATCAGTGTACTCCCTTAACTATACAAAATATCTCATTTTATGTCCCAACAATATTTTTTTATTTACTTTTTTATATATATTTCAAACGAGTCATATTTGCTTTCACACATATAAAGACACAAAAGCCAATGATAAATATGTGCTATCCTAAATTCCAATGTGTCATGGGTTTTTTACTCTTGCGTGTATATAAGCCACTAATAGCATTACATAATTGATGGCCTTTCATATTTAAAAGTTATATTTTTCATATTAAATTTACATTTTATTACTCCTGTTGACTAGGTATTTTTAGAAAAATATCATATGGGTGCCACATATCATAGATAGATAGATCTTGTGCAAGAATATACTTGCATGCATATGAATTAGAGGTAAGGATAGCTGGATACACATAAAATATATTCATTAATTAATAAATTCTTAATATTTCATAAGAAAAGAGCGAGACGATGAACATTCAATTAAAAAGAAAGGAAAAAACATATTAATTTAACTTGTCAAGCATGATTTTAACGAATTAATATACATGCCCGCGCATCGCACGGGCTACCTTCCTAGTTGCAAAAAAAAAAAGAAAAATCTGGAGGCAGGCAATCAAAGAACGAAACAACAGATGTAACAGGTGGAAAAAACTGAAACGAACTGACATTCGACTGGAAGTAAACAGTAAGTTATTGTTCCAAAGTTCAGTTGATCGTGAAATTCCCTTATGACCTTATCTTACAAATTCAGAAGCAGAGTTCAGGAAACCAGTGTAACGGCTGGTACCACCAGTTTCTTGAAATGTTGGTGCCCATCTCCAGAACTTCTCAAGTATGACGAATCCAAATATTTTTGGCCTGTTATTTTTTTCTGCTTTAACTGATTTTAATATTCAAGTTCAAATTTTGTATCAAAATTTATGGGGAGCTGTAGAGAGGATATCACTGAAACAGGTGAAAAATAGTTTGACCATGCAGCTGTGTTGCACCTTAAATTGTTTGTTTAATCCTATTCACAATCGGCAGGTTTATCGCCTAGTTTTTCATCAAACTGATATACATTATGTTCTGCATTTAACAAGACACTACAAAGGATATACCATGGAGAGAACAAACTAGCTCTGTTTTCTAAAATGGCATTTTGGCACAAAGGCATGTTTGACGTTCCATGGAAACATAAACAAGATGACCACCCAGAACAACAAAAAGAAAAAAAAAACACTTCGTTCTCCATTTGTATTTTATACAATGAAATTCAGATTAGCAATGTAGCAGCTGAAGTAGATATTCTGCAAGATGATTCAATGGCATAAATTTGATTCTCACACAAGATGACCACCCATAAATTTGATCAGTAAGTTTTAACATCGTTTCAAACACAAAAATTGAACGAAATTCAATATTCGCATAAGGTTATTTTACAGGAGTTTCACACGGCACACCTAATCCTCCATTTTATCTTACATCAACTTTGCAACGAAATTCCCTAAAATTCCTATCCTCCCGCGCAAACGCAGCGTTCACCTGCGACCTGGATGAGCTGATGACACCATGGTCACCGGCCTCGCCGTCGCCGGTGACCATCAGTGCGCCGCGGCGGCGGTGGCAACGTGGTCGGAGCTCCAGCCGGCGGCCATCTCGAAGCCGTTGCGGCGGTTCCGGTAGTCTTCCCTGGCCTGCTCCACCTCCTCCCGGGTGTTCATCACGAACGGCCCGTCCTTCACCACGGCCTCGCCGTGCGGCCGCGCCGCCACCAGCAGGAACCTCGCCGCGGAGCGCTCCGTCGCCCGCGCGGCCACGCCGTCGCCGCCGCCGCCGAACACGACGCAGGTGTGCGCGCCCGCCGCCGCGGCCTCGTCCCCGAAGACGGCCTCGCCGTCGATGACGTACGAGCACGCGCTCCACCCGGGCGGGACGGGCGCTCGCAGGCGCGCGCCGGGCCGCATGGCGACGTCGAGGCAGAGCGCCGGGGTGCGCGTCTGGAGCGGCGAGCGCGCGCCCAGGGCCTCGCCGGCGATCACCTTGACGGACACGCCGTCGCGCTCCGCGGCGGGGATGTCGTGGCTCGCCAGCTCCTGGTACCTCGGCTCCACCCTGCACGCACGCACGCATCATGGCCACGGCACGGCACGGCACAGCGAGTGGTCAGCAACTGTTACGTAGTAGCCGCCATTGCTGCGGCTGATGAGAGAGGCACAGGAAGAAGAGTACATTTTGTCCTTGGAGGAGAGGTTGATCCAGAGGTTGATGCCCCTCTGGACGCCATGGCCGCCGGGCATCTCCGCGTGCACCACGCCGCGCCCCGCCGTCATCCACTGCCAACGACAACCATGCATACACCAAGTTAGCTCTCTTTACCGGGCTGAGTTCGGGAGGCAAGTTACATGGAAAACAAAGCAAGTGATCAGAGCGAGATTAATTAATTATTAAACTAAAAAAACTTGAAAAATAGATTAATATGATTTTTAAAGCAATTTTTCTGTAATATTTTTTTTGAAAAGACATACATTTAACATTTTAAAAAACATGCACGGAAAACAATGGAGGTAAGTTGCGAAAGAAGAGGGAAGAACATAACCAATATTCCCTCTTTTCCTTTCCAATTAATCTGCACATGAATTCGTTTGATCAATTTATTTTAAAAATGACCCCTACTGTTTGTTGTCAAAAATCCTTTTGTGGTTATCAAAAGTAACAAGCAAAGTTGCATCTCATGCACTGCAAAATGCACAGAAAATAGTCTTATAGTCAATCAAAAGGTATCCAGTGGAAGTTTAAGTTCAGGTCGCATTCGGAATGGAGGAGTTTTAGAGGACTTCTCCTGTAAGATTCCTACGTTTCAAAGAGCCATAAATAATTTCCAGGTGTATAAATCTCAAACTACTTGGAGTAGAACTCCAGCTTTATCCCCTAGAACAATCAAACATAGTGTTCTTTCTTATTTGTTCGATAGTAACCTTTTGTTCCTTTTTCTTCGGCGTGACGGCAATATGCAATGGTTGTGTATATTCCAGATGAATAGATGCCACGAGTTGTACTTCACTATTAAAAAAAGTAGATAGCAACATTTTGCATGTTTAGAGTACCTACTCCACTAGTGATCACACGCTGACACTATGTCATAGTCATTTCAAGTTTTCAGAAAGTAAATACAATTAACTCAGTTTTCAGACAAGTCGTTCTCGAGGAATTAATGTCTTTAATAAGTACTACCCCTACATCTCTGTACCCGATTATATTACTCTTTCAAATTATTATTGTCGTTATATCTTTTGTCATAGTTCAAACACCTGTATCAGCTTTAGCCATTAATATATATTTCTAAAAATTCGTCTAGCTATTATAACTACAAGTGAATTATATATTATGAAAGTCTTTTTTATGGTGAATCTAAAAAATAAACTTATGATGTTAAATTATATGAACTTTTAGAAAGTAAATGTCAATGATATAAATGTTTGGCTTTAGATAAAGTTAGAACGACAAGTAATTTGAAATGGAGAAGTAATTACTTGAAGAACAGTACTATAACACTATTCATAGTTGTTGTTAGGCTGTTAATTTCAACGAAAATAAGGAAAAAGGAAAACAGGGACAAGTTATAAAGGATATTGCTCTGAGTAGTCCAACTCTAAGTTTAATGGTACAGTTGGAGACCTAACCTGAACATCTCCTGTGTTGATGGTGCCCTTGTGGCCTGAAAAGTCATGGTAACTGAAGCCTCCCTGAAAACAACAGATTAAAATTAGTTAAGAACAACAGTTAATTTGTCACTAAATATTCTTTTAGAAAGAATGAGATGGAATTGTGTGACAGATTAAATATATTCTTGGTGGTTTTCCTATTACAACTGATACGCCAATACTACAATATTGTTGATGGAAATGAATCAAACTGTTAATTAGTTACCTCGAGCATGTAGGTAACATTCTCGAATCCTGAAGGAACAGGTGCCACATACAAAATGGAAGAAAATTGTAAGATCAGAATTCAGGAATAACATATAATAACTATACTTTATTAAAACTTAAGCTAAATTAATTGTTCATGAGATTAGCGTGTAAATATAAAACTATGCACAGCTGTATCAACGGGGATTAAGAAATCACAAACCTCTGTGGGGATGATCATGGAAGCCGGCTGGTGGAGAAACTGTAAAATAGAAACAGAAAGGGAACGTTAACAAGGTGTGAATACTCTGTTGAATAATCATATGAGAGCTAGTTGGTGACCTGAAGGGACATTACACGATACTCAACATATATCCGTTTGGAAACCATTTTTCTTGATCACTGGTTACTCCAACTAATTAATTCGTGTGCCTACATAATATCCTCCGTTGGTGAACTCAAAATAAAAATTACTTATAGTCTAATTTTTGAGTTATATGATGATTAATATGATATAAAATAGCTAGAAATAGACAAGCTACCTGGTGTCTAAGGACATCGGGTAGTTACATGTAGGTACGTCATTGATACTCCATCTCATTTTTAATAGATGACGTTGTTAACTTTTGATTGAAATTTAAATATTTGTCTTATTCAGTTATTCAAAAATTTACTACAGCCATTAAAAAAAGTCATTCTTGAATTCCGTTAATGATAAAACAAATAACAACAAAATAAATGATACTGAATCATTTTTTTTAAAAAAATAAGATGATCAAACATCATAAAAAAGTTAATGACATCACTTACTTAAAAGAACATGTATTAGTATGTGCTCAATGCTATAAAACCGTCCAGCCGTTTAATTAATCCAAAAATCCTCATCTTGTAAGGGACAAATTTATTTTTTGGGATTCAGTCAAAGACGTACGTTTTCAACTTGTGTACACTACTAGAGGGGAAGAGAGGGAGGCGAGATGAGCGAGAGAAGAGAAGGTAGATGGGTGGTGGTACAGTACGTACACTCGAACTCGTCGAGGGAGATGAAAGGATCGAGGCTGTCGAGCTCCTTCCTCCCGATGCCCCTCCTCACCGCGAACCCCTCGCCGACCACCCGCCGCTCGCACTCCAGCGTCCGCGCCACCGCCCGCGGCCTCCTCACCGTCCTCCCGCCGCCGGCGACGACGTCCCCCTCGCAGCTGCTGCATGCGGCCAGGATCGATCACAAAAACCACCAAGAATTCAAGCAAACTCAAACGAGGAGAAATTAAAGATCTCGATCGAGACACAGTACACCGAACGATGCTGTACCTTTTGTCGGCGGCGGCGGTCACCGGCGTGTGGTTGGCGACGACGAAGACGTCGATGGTGGTCTCCGGCGCCGGCGCCGCCGCGGCGGCCATTGGCGGTGGAGGGAAGGAGGAGATGCAGGCGGCGGCAGACATGGCCGGCAATGCGTGGCGATGTGTGGGTAATATAACTAATGGTGTTGGTGCGGATGATGGAATGAATTCGCTCGCCCTCGTCGACTCTTATATACGCTAGCTAGCCCGACGAAGACGACGACTAGTTCAGCACAGCTCCAACATTTCTATTCTTTTTTTTTATATAAAAAAACTACGAATCCGAAGCGCGGGAAAGGAACAGGTGTGAACGCTAAGGCGGGGAGGGTGGGCCCACCGCCAACCCTATGCGGATTAGTAAATGGCGATAGTGTGAACGGGGGCGGCCCGCCGTGGATCCCCACCCTCCGTATCTCGTCATGACGTCACCCCTTGCATGCATGCATGCCGTTGTTGGTCGATCACGGCCGCCGGCCGACCCTAATCCACCTGGGCATCTCATGTCTGATGTCTCCCTTCCTTTCTTTCTTTTTTTTATTTTTCTTTCATTTTTTTTAGAATATATCTCATGTCTCCCTCAACAGCCATTTCTTACAATGAAGGTTGTTGACATGGGTTTGTCATAAAAGGATTTATGTAACTCACATGTGTGGAGGAGAGGAACTCGTTGGATCGAAACACAATAACTAAGTTAACCAGAGGGAGGTGTGAATGGTTGGTATACCCAAAACCTAAACTTTTTGCGAAATTAAAAGTTACTCTCAAATTCGACGGATCATGGTCCGACCGAAGGTGAAGCGCCGGTCTGACTGTCTAGAAGCTATCGGTCTGACCGGTATAGATCACCGGTCTAATCACCAAAACCTGTCGCCGCCTCCTGTTGCTGTCGCCGGTCTGACCGCCGTTGTTCCGCCGGTCTGACCGGTCCAACAGTAACCCTGTTCATCCCGGTCCCGATAAAAACAGTAACCCTGTTCATCACCTGAAAATCAATCATCTCCAAAATCACTTTGCCAATAATCTTCAAATATCAAAACCAATAATCTTCAATGCCAATTGTTCATCATAGAATAACAATGAAAAACACTTTGATTTTACAGAAGTATAGAGAAAACTAACGACATACTCTCTTCCCCGTTTTAGGTTGTTTTCTAAAAAAATTAATCAAGTTTATAGAAAAACATTGTAACATTTCCAACGCAAAACAAACCTACTGTCAGAATTAAATTATTCAGTTATTAGATTTTTTTTTATGTACTTGATGAAACAAAGAAAATCAAACCGTCTTGAAATATGAAACCAAAACGATATGAAACCAAAACGAGAGTAGTTAGCATACTCCCTCCATACTCATAAAGGAAGCCGTTTTGGACAGCGACATGGTCTACAAAACACAACTTTGACTTCTTGTTTCTATAAAAAAATTTATTGAAAAGTGATATATGTATACTTTTATGAAAGTATTTTTCAAGACAAATCTATTCACATAATTTTTACATTTTCAAACTCAACAACTTAAGAGTTATTCATAATTTATATTTTCAAGGTTTGACTTAAACATTATCCTAAACGATTTCCTTTACGAGGGAGTACTTTTTAAGATAGCTGGAGTCTTTTCTTTTATATATGGAACATGTCCACCAGCATCTGCCCGGCTATACACGTACGAGTTACGACGTTGCTCGTATTTTCCTTTCAGACATCAGATCGATTAAACGTATGATATCTGCTCGACAGGCTGCTCGTATTTTCTTTCAGAGTTTAAATCCAGGTACTCCAATTTTTACACAATATAAGGATTTTTTATACTAATTCCAATACATGGAAATCTAAACATTTAAAGTATTCAAATTTTGTACAAAATATAAACATTTTTTAATACTAAATCCATCACATGGAAATCTAAGCATTCCAACATATCAAATGGTTGGAGTGAAATGCAAGCGATTTAAAAATTAACCAATAAGATAGCTGAAGAGGAAAAAAAATAAAACAATATATAAATGTTTATATTTTTTTAAACAACTCAGAAATAATCATATGTAGAAATGGAGTGAGTAGAATAAATTTGTACATTTTGAGATATGGTAGTATGTTCAACCATTAAAGCGCGTGCATGCTTGTGTGCTACTTCTTCCGTCCGAAAAAAAATCTAATTCTAGGTTTGAATCTCGACATAATAAAGTTTTTTTTTAATATAGAGGGAGTACATGATATCAGGTCTTTAATCTTATTTAGACGTGTGTTATGACATACTTATATGGATGTGCGCGCGTGTGAGTAGGTGTATTTGAAATATATATATATGGTGCGTACTCAGAATGAAGCTAGTTTTTTTTCGATAATAAAATTGAATCCAGCGCTACCTCGATCTACCATGTCGATCGAAGCAAAAAAAAAAAAGAAGCAACAAATAGCTAGCTCGCACGTGCGATATAGGAGTAAGTTTTATAGTGACCGAGCCAGCTAGTGTGAACAGCCGGGTCTCAGTGTTCCTTGGTTACTTGTTTGCTAGCTGCTGGCACTGTACGTTTGTGGAAGGCTGCACGTCACACACACTTGCAAGTGGTGTCAGACAGATCGTCCTACGTGGCAAATAAACCAACCGGTTCTGCTGGCCATCATCTTGCTTCAATGCTTCCTTTTTCATCCGCACGGATAATACAATTCACATCCGCTCCACTACGGCAACTACCTGTGTGGCGTCACTAATTATTCTAAGTTTCTAACAGTCACATATATATACATATAGTGGTGAGCAAGAATTATCGAAGTGTACAATATGTACTAAGGCTTTTTCGGTAGAAGAGTTTGAGAACCTGCGTATGGAAAACGGGATCGATTATTAACATATGATTAAATAAGTATGTTATTTTTAAAAAATAGATTAATATGATTTTTTTACAGCAACTTTCTTATGGATTTTTAAAAATATACACACCATTTAGCAGTTCGGGAAGCATACACGTGAAAAAAAAACAGAGGTTGAAAACTTGATACTAGAACACAACCAAATTATCTACTCCCTCCATCCCAAAATATAAGAACCTATAATATGATGGGACATTTCCTAATACCAGATTCGTTGTACTAGGAAATATCCTATCCAGTACTAGATTTTTATATTTTGGGACGGAGGGAGTAATTATTAACTTATAATCCCTGCATCTAATTTTGATAGTCATATTTCCAAATCTGAAAAATTTATTTTTGATAGGCATATTTCAATCCAACAACCTATCTTCTTAATGACTTTCTCGGATTTAATGCGTGACTCTCCATTCTTCCACACAAGATTGGCTACATGGGCATCGAGAAATGTAAATATTAATAAATCGCTTGTTTACGAGGAATAACTAATAGTATATTTAAATGGATGATAAGTAGAATTACTTATCATTGGTCTGTGTGCCAAGATGAAATATGACTATTAAAAGTAGATGGAGGGAGTACTACCTCTGTCCCAAAATAAGTGCAGCCGTGGGTATCCGTGTCCAACGTTTGATTGTCCGTCTTATTTGAAAAATTTATAAAAGATTAAAAAAAATAGTCACACATAAAGTGTTATTCATGTTTTATCATTTAATAACAATAAAAAATATTAATCATAAAAATATTCAAATAAGATGAACGATCGAACGTTGGACATAAATAGTGCAAAACCGCATTTATTTTGGGATAGAGGGAGTACTAGTTAGCATGATATAATTAATTTAGTTAGCTGTGATCCAGTGACCCCGAGGAACAAAATGTTGATACACCACTATTAATACATAAGGGAAAAATATAAGGTCATCCACATTTTGTACAAAAAGTACCATAGTTCAATCTAAACTTAGTTGCAAAAGTATAAGGACATCCACAATATCTATTATATACTAGAAGTCCATTAAACTTCCTACAAACGCTCCTAAGCTGCCACGTGTACCCTACAAACACTCTTAAACTGCCACATGTCACTCTAATAAATTAGAGAAATTCTTAAAAATTCTAGGAAAAAAGCAAAACATCTGACCATTGATTTTTATTTAATTCGGAGGACCCAGTATTTTTAGCCATTAGATCAATCTATTAAAATTTTATTTAATTCGGTGGACCCAGCAATTTTAGCCATTAGATCAATCTATTAAAAAAAAAAGCAATCCTCCTATCCGACTATACGTGAAGTTGTAGGTACGTACGTACTTGACAGCCGGTATGCCTCCTCTCTCTCTCTCCTTCTTTGTTCCCTCTCTTATTTCTTATTCCTATTTTTATTTAATATATTAGTTAGACAGAAGAATAGACAAGCACAGTTGATGATTAAAAAAAATATAACATCTAAACTGCTTGTATTTAAACTTTCAAAAAGAATGTCACATTATGGTTATAATTTCTGACTTTTACGTGCCATTTAAATAGTTCTAAAATATTATGAAAAAAATAATGATATAGATTTTATCATCAAACATAATTTCACAATAATTAAATTAGAATAAACCTAAATGTTCCAAAAGAAATTACTCCCCCATAAGTCAAAATAATATAATTATACGTGTCTTATATTATATACTACAAACGCTACTAAATCGTCACGTGGCTCTCTGATAAATTAGAAAAAATCCTGCAAATTCTAAGAAAAAATAAAAATATTTAAATCGATGGACCAATTAATTTTAACCATTAGATCTATATAAAATAATATAATGATGTGGACCATATACATCGATCTAATGTAAAGGATATGAGATCGGCTATAGCTTCATTTGTACACTTACGGAAGAAAACATTAGACAGTGGTCTAAAAAACTGAGATTCATTTTTCTTTCTGGAACTGAAAAAATTAATACTCCTAATCGGTCACAGTTTTATCCCCATCGACATTACCCGGGACACTGTCAGCGTGAGGGGGCAAATTTGCTTGGGACTATATGTGTACCACAGATGACCGAGCTAAAACCTTTTTGTACCAATTATTTTAGAAACTTAAAAGTTAAAAGTTATTTAGTATTTAAACTACCATGGTTGTATAAATGGCTAATTCTTTCAAACAAGAAAGATAAAATAGGATAAGCATTGTATGCTTCGTATTTAGGATTATGCAATATAAATATAATAACTAAAGGCCCAATGCATGTTAGCTAAAATAAAATCACACAAGTGATCGTTTGCATTATGTAAATTCCTAATGTTTAATCATAAATTTTAGAGT